CGCCGAAATTCCCCAATTTGAGTATGCTCATTATGATCATTGGAGTGAACTAATTGAGAACTTGTTACGAGCAAAGGGTCTCTAGAATATGGTTGATGAAGGTTTTGACAAAGTCGACAGCTCGGACACTAGTAGCCCTAATTGAAGCATAGAGGAATCTAATAGAAGAGAAACTGAAGAAGGACCACAAAGTGAAACACTATTTGTTCAAATCCATCGACAAAACAGTATTCGAACATATTACGGTTCGGTGCAATTCTAAAATCATTGGGGACTCGTTGAAGGCTAAATACAGAGGAAACAAATGCGTAAAAAGGGTGATGTTAAATGCTTTATGATGTATTTTGATGTGCTAAAGATGAAAGAATGTGAAAGTATTTCCGAATACTTTGGTAGAGTTATGAGTGTTGCAAATGAGATGCGCACCAATGGTGAAAATATGTGTGACCACAAAAATTGTCTAGAAGATATTACGCACATTGACATATAAGTTTACCTACATTTTCATTTCAATTGAAGAATCAAAAGACATGAATTCCATGACAGTGGATGACCTTCAGAGTTCTCTTTTGATTCATGGGAAAAAATTCAAAAGAGTAACATACGAAGATGAGGTTCAAGATCTCAAAGTTGAAGGAAGCAAAAAATAGAGGTCGAATTGATAACATGTGGAAAACTAGAGATGAAGATGGGAAGGATTTTAAGATAGAAAGCAGTAGAAGTAAAGGTCGAGGAAGCTTTCCAGGTGGACAAGGTTGTGGTCAGGGAAAGCAACAACCTTTCTTAAAAGTCCACATAGAATGTCACAAATGTCAGAATCTTAGACATTTTCAATATGAATGTCCAACATTGGAAAACATAGAAAATTATTCCGGGCTAAAGGAAGATGGGGAGCTACTTCTAATAGCTCAAATACGTGAAGAACTGCTCTAGAAGGCCTAAGTAGAAAAAGACAAAGTTTAGATGTCTAATATGCATAACAACATATGGTTTCTTGACTCGGATGTTCAAACCATATGTGTGGAGATAAGGGAAAGTTCCAAGAGATAGAAGACTGTAGCAAAGGCTACATTAAATGTGGAAACAACTCCAAAATGAAGGTTGCCCGAAAAGGGAGTATGAAATTGATTATCAGTAGTGTCGTCTTTCATGTTCAAGATGTATAGCCTGTATCGGATCTATGGCATAACATGTTAAGTGTTGGATTGATCCAAGAAAATGGAGTCAGTCTACTTGCTTATAATAGGGTATGTAGTATTTATCATCCCTAAAGGGAGTAATAGTTCGGTCAAAGATAAATGAAAATAGAATGTTCATTTTAATCAACAAATAGTTAATTCAAACAGCCCAAGACAGTGATGAATGCATGCATACAAACCAAGACTTCACACACCTGTGGCATCAAAGATAAGGCACTTGGGCTATAAAGGGTTAAAGTTGATGTTGTCAAAGAACATGGTACATGGGCTGGCAAAACTAGAAAACCCCAGTATTACTTGTGTTGATTGTCTCTCTGGAAAACAAAACAGAAGTGACATTTCCAAGAAGAGATAGTAGAGAGCGAGTTGCATCCTGGAGCTTATACATGTTGATGTATGTGGTCCCATAGAACCTATCTCAAACAGTTAAAATAGGTGCCTTTTGTGTTTCATTAATGATTTTAGCTTAAGGGGTTGGGTTCATCTCTTAAGTAAAAAAATCAAAAGCTCTTGAATGTTTCAAGCTTTTGAAATTTATGTAATAAAAGAGACAGATGAATTCAATAAATACTTACAAACTGATAGGGGAAGAGAGTTCAATTCATATGATTTCAAGGTGTTCTGTGAAAAGACGATATCAAAAGTTTCCTGACTAATGCCTACACACCACATCAAAATGGTGTGGCAGAAAGGAAAAACAAAACAGTGATAAACATGGTTAGATGTATAGTAATTGCAAAAAGGGTTACAAAGCCATTTTGGGAAGAAACTATAAAATGGACCTTTTATGCTTTGAATTGTATTCCAACCATGGAAGTTAAGGATATCACTTCACAAGAAGAATGGAGAGGAATAAAACCCTCAATTGCTCACTTCAAAGTTTGGGTATGCATAGGACATGCCACATACCTGAGAACAAAAGAAGTAAGCTTGATAACAAAAGTTTTCTTGGATTTTTTTGGTGTCATCAAATAATCCAAGGGATATCAGTTGTGTGACCCAGTCACAAAGAAGATCGTGACAAGCAAAGATGCAGTCTTTGAAGAGAACAAAAGTTGGGATTAGGGACAATAGTTTTAAAGACCAAATCGATGCAGAACTAACATGGGGTGATGACCCTTCTGATGATGAAAGCGATGAAGAAGATGAAAGTACACCACAAGATGAAAATAACACTCAAATAGATATGGGAACAAGCAATACATTATAAGATATGACAAGTAATGCATCGGGTGGGACAAGTAATGCAGCAGGTAGGAGATCAAGAAGACCTCCAACATGGCTAAGGGATAACGAAAACGGTGCAGGCCTAAGTGGACAAGAAGAAACTAGACATATAGCATATATGGAAATAGAAAACACAAATGACCCCATGTGTTTTGAAGATGCTATAAAAGAAGAAAAGTGGAGACAAGCCATGAACAAAGAGATAAGCTCAACTGAAAAATATAAATAAATAAATAAACATCATTTGGAGCTTAACTCACTTGCCTAAAGGAGCAAAGAAGGTTGGTGTTAAATGGATCTACAAGACCAAACGTGATGATCATTGAGAGGCGATCAAACAAAAAGCATGTGTTGTGGCCAAAGCAAACATATACGAGTATGTTATCATCTCCATGGAGAACTTATAAATGAAGGTGCAATAGAATTGTTACACTTGAAGTGATGAACAAGTTGCAGATATAATGATAAAACCAATCAAAGCAAAGACATTTGCAAAATTAGAAACATGATGGGGATGTGCAAAGTCAACAATGCAAGTTGATTTAGTTCTAGTGTGTGTTTAGCTTAGGGAAGGAGTCGAAGAGGTTTTTGTTTTGTCTAGGTTCTTAGTTGATTATTTGAATAAGTTTCTTAGTATTACATTTAGAATAAGTGTTCATTTATTTTAGTTAGTTTAGGAGTATCTTTTATTTGTTTGATATATCCATTTAGCTCATTTTAATAAAGGACACAATTTGGGGCTTCAAAATTCAAATTGCTTACTCAATAACGGGCCATTCTTTGCTATATGTTCTTTTTCTAAAAACACATACACACATGAATTTGTAACATACATTGGATAATAATCTTTAAATTACTACATAAATCTCTCCATGTTTCATTCGGCTTTACATTTGCATTAGCCCATGTGCTAACCTTTCTATTCGGCCCAAATCTTTTTTCTAATGAATAAAATTTCGTACATACAAAGTAAGCATAACTTCGAATTCACAATGTTAAAGTCATTATATGCTCCTTGACTAAAAACATTTCCTCCTCTATTTGCTTTCTTTGTATTTAACTCATTTAATTGTTTTTTTAGAAAATTAAATGGAAATAATATGTTGTAACGAGACTACCTTCTTCATAACTCTTACTCAATCACGTATGTATGTATATCCTGCGAACCAATTTCTCTAAAAAAATAATTATTTCATGCCCCACAACTTTCACCACTTTTGGATGAATATTAATTAATAATATTCTTTTTTGTTATTTTATAAAAACTACACGTATAGTTAATTTGCAGTAAAAAAACCAAATGGTTAGCTAAAAAGATAAACCAATCAAATCATAAATACATTAGAGAAAGAGAAACACCAAACCCCGTAATTTCATCATCTTAGCTTCGAAGGTAGCAAAATGGTTTCCTCCAACAACACTTCTCTTGAGTTGCACAGCAAGGATGCCATCATCATCGCCATTATTACACCAAATTATCTTGTTATTTATACTTGTTTCATTACACATTCACCATGTCACCATGGCTACCCATATAACAATTTTCTTCGTGGTTATTATCATTTTTATTTTCAATGGGCACACTAACGGTTTGTTACATGGTCTCAATGAAGGTCAAGTTACTGATACAACAATGCATAGGTTTGTGAATTTATCTTCATTGCTATGTTTGTGTTCTAGAGTTTATTTGATTTCATCATTGAATATGCAGGGTTGATTGCAAGGGTGACGTGGAAATGGAAGATGATGCATGGATGATGGTGCAAAAAAGTGGGAACCAATTTGTGGTGAATAATCAACCGTTTTATGTAAACGGGTTCAATACATACTGGTTGATGGTATTTGCTGTGGACAACTCTACAAGAGGAAAAGTTACTCAAGTCTTTCAACAAGCATCTGATGTGGGATTGACCGTGTGTCGAACATGGGCTTTTAATGATGGCCAATGGCGCGCTCTTCAGAAAAAACCATTTGTTTATGATGAAGATGTTTTCAAGGTTCTTTTTATATGTTATTTGTTATCTGTTAGGGTTTTATTTTTCACTTGGCCTTCTGACTAATATACAAAAGCTTACAGGCATTAGATTTTGTGGTGAGTGAAGCAAAGAAATTCAATATTAGGCTCATACTATCGTTGACAAACAACTGGGATGCTTATGGTGGAAAACCGCAATACGTCAAATGGGGGAAGGAAGCTGGCTTAAATTTGACTAATGATGATGACTTCTTCTTTCACCCGACTCTAAAAAGCTACTACAAGTCTCATGTCAAGGCAAGTTTTCTTTTTAACAGAGCACTGTGTGTATTTGATTTACATTTTACATGATGTTTTTACAGCAGAGTTGTGTTGGTTGGATCCACTCTGTAGAAAGAATAACTATTTTGCAGAAACTTCTATATTTTACTTTACACGTTGTTTCTTGGCTTTGTAGACTGTGTTGAATCGAGTGAATACGGTAACCAACATGACTTACAAGGATGATCCCACTATTTTTGCGTGGGAATTGATTAATGAGCCGAGATGTGAATCAGATCCTTCGGGGGATAAACTTCAGGTACTCTTTTAGGGTTTAGGGTTTATCGATAAAAAAAAAACATTTATGATTTGTATGCTTTGAACTAAGTATACAGTACGTAATCATATAGGAATGGATAGAAGAGATGGCGGTTTATGTGAAAACAATCGATCCAAAACATCTAGTGGAAATCGGTCTTGAAGGATTTTATGGTCCTTCAACACCTAATAAGGTTCAATACAATCCAAATACCTATGCTCAACAAGTGGGTACCGATTTCATCAGAAACCATCAAGTTCTTGGTGTTGATTTTGCTTCTGTTCATATTTATGCAGACTCTTGGTATGTCAACTATCAAGTATCAATTGTTAATATTGTCTGTCTAACTCACAAATTTAATGGTTTTATTCAGGATTTCACCATCGATATCTAATGATCATATCGCATTCACAAAGTCATGGATGCAATCACACATTGATGATGCGGAGAACTACCTCGGGATGCCGGTTGTTTTCAGTGAGTTTGGTGTATCTAAAAAGGATCCGGGGTACAACGAGTCATACAGGGACAACTTAATAAGCACGGTGTACAACACATTACTTGATTCAGCTAAGAAAGGAGGGAGTGGAGGTGGGTCCCTTTTGTGGCAGGTGTTTCCTGATGGAACAGAGTATATGGATGATGGGTATGCAATCATTCTCTCAAAATCTCCTTCAACATCAAGCATCATATCGCGACATTCCACAAGGCTCACGCTTTTTAATTCCTTATGCAAATGGAAGTGTCATTGGGGTTGCAAGAAAAAGCATGAGTTTGATGGAGGATTCCATTTCCTTGATGAGCTTTAAACAATGGTGGTATTTACTATTTACTTTTTACCATATGTTACAGTCGTACAATGAATCTACAAACATATGTTACATGTAAGTAATGACACTTGTCTGTTTTATAAGATACACCAAAGTAACGCCATATTCCAGTTGTCTCATATTTTTCTTGTGTTATTTCCACTACTCGGTTTCAAATTAAATTTTATTAAATAATGACCAGCTTTTAGTTTTGTTTCACCTAGTTACCTCAAAAAATTTAAGGGTTTTGACATCTAATTAAAACAAACTTTAATTTATGGACTTACATAATTATAAGTCGCAATAAACTATTTTAAGCATATCACAAATAACATTTGTAATTAAACACACTAAAATTGAAATCAGAAATACAAGTTTTTTAGAACAAATAAGTAGAGTGAGTACCATTAGCAAGCTGGGCTTTGTCTGTGAAGAAAAGAGGCAGCAGGCTTGACATAAGTGAACCCCTGAAAGAGGTCAGATGAGCCATTTGGGCTGGATGCAGGTGAATCCAGTAGGGGCATATCCGTCCAACGTTTATCAAAGTTAGCAATGCATTGATTTCCAGAAACTTCCGGACGAAAACTCGGCTGGATTTCACGCGCATCCAGTTTCTTCCAGTTTATCGGTTTGAACCATTTGTGATTCTTTATTTCATCACTTCCTGTTACCCCATTGCCTAGCCTCTTGCTTGGATCCTTTTGCAGCAACTAAAAAAAAAAAAAAAAAAAAAAAACAATATTATTATGTGGTCAAACATGGTCAAGATTCAATTTTTCTTTTTTAGAAAGTAAATCCACTTACCCCTTTCAAAAGTGCATGTGCTTCACTTGACAAAAATGCAGGGAGCTTCATCTTGTCTTTCACTATCTTTTTCTGTACTTTGTCCCTGTTTCCTCCATGAAACGGTGGCTGTTCAAGATTAGATAGATAACACATACAAACAATTAGACTTGATAAGGGCAAAACAGTCATTTCACTAGGGAAATTTCACCTGTCCTGTGAGCATCTCAAACAACAAGATTCCAACACTCCACCAATCAGCAGCCTTGTCATGGCCTTTCCCAAGAATAATTTCAGGTGACATGTATTCTACTGTTCCACATAAAGAATTTGATCTTGCATTTTCATCAAACTCTTTTGCTAGCCCAAAATCCGTAAGCAATGCCTAAATAAATAAACTCACATGTTTAATAAAAGAACTGTGTGTGTGTGTGTGAGAGAGAGAGAGAAAATTAACAATTTAAAAACAAAAAAAAGTACATGTCCATCCACATCAAGTAGTATATTTTCAGGCTTAAGATCCCTATGCATTATCCCATTTGCATGAAGGTGAGAAACAGCTGAAACAATCTCTGCAGCATAAATACGCGCCAAATCCTCTCTAAAACAATCATAATCATAAATAAATAATTAATTAATCAGTTTATGTTATTTTTAAAGTTACAAAAATAAATAAATAAAACTCACCGAAACAGTCCATGGTGATATAGCTGGAAAAAAAGATGTCCACCATTCACAAAGTCCAAAACGAGGTAAAGTCGATATTTTGTCTGAAGATTAAAAGAGTGAGCATAAACAGATACAAAAAGGGTAGTTTTGGAATTTAGAAAAAAAAGTACCTGGAAAGAGTAACGAAGCTGGACAATAAAGGGATGATCAATCTTTGTCAAGATATCCCTCTCTGCTTTCATATACTCAGCATGATTTTTCTCCACAATCTTATCTTTTCTCACAACTTTCATTGCATATATTTCCAAACTATCTCTCTTTCTCACTTGATACACTTTACCAAAAGCCCCTTGCCCCACAACTTTCATGACTTCAAAATCTTCAAGCCCTATGGTTTTCACCTTACAACCATTTTCAGAATCTTCTTCTTCTTCTTCAATCTCTTTATCTATCACATCACTGAAATCCTCCAATGATTCATCCGTTTCACATATGGTTAACTTCCTTAGATTGAGCAAATGGCTTACACATGGCGTGGGGCCCACTAAAGAATGTGAACGGCTGTAAATGACCACAGGGTCATCGCTTGGAATTTCAGAATTGCCAGCTGGCAGTGGGAGAGGACCAAATGTATCAGAAAAGTCCAATTCAAGAGTATCTGATGTTTCATTGGGAGGGTTTTTTGGGAATTGAAAATAGTTCTTGGAGGATTTGAATGGCTTGTTCTCAATTAAAGCAGTTAATTGAGAAGAAACCATTGTGGAAATTGGAAAACAGAAAGGAGTGTTTTGTTTGTATTAGTATTACAGACTATGGATGGAAAGATACTAAGATTCGAGCTGATGAAAGGCTTCTACCAATGGCTTTAATTAGAAGGAAGTTCAAGTAAACAATTGGATTCTTAAAGAAATTTGACAGAATGCAAACCAAAGTAGAGTAAGTGGAGTTGCTCTTGTTTCCCGATTTACAGGAAACGATGGATGCAATGCTGTTTCTTGAATTCATGAAGATCTGGTCTAAATTCTGCTTACATGAAGAAACAACACACAAGTCAGAAATTGTACTTTTGTAAATATGCATTGTGATGGATTTTAGTTGTTATTTCAATATGTTGTATTATATTATGATAAATTTATACAGACAATAGTAATTCCAGTAAACATGCAAGCCAAGCCTACCACCTAAAAGATTAATATTAATTTTGCAAAAGTCCAATTTTGACTTGAATGGTCAAACTGACAGTTTTGTCATATCAATATTACTATGAATCTATTTCCATTTCCAACCTTGAATCTTCTAGTTCTTTTGTGCAACATACCGTATTTTAAAGTTAAAGCAAGTTCATATCAAGCGTTGACCTTAAATTTTTAAAAGATCCCCATAAGATCAGATGCGATATCAGATCTTTCAGGGGAAAAAAGGCATAACCTAATTCAACAGGGAAAACCAAAATTCCAGATTCTTTAACAATTCACTTTCTGGAATTCATTTCAACAAATGATAAAAACGCGAGATCGGAATTTGCTGCGAATTTTGTGTAAAAATATACGCCAAGTAATACGGATTAAAGAATGAATTCTACTCAAACAAACATGAAACTCGTAATGTAGCGAAATCCCAACATAACAACTAACAAATACAGATGGAAGAAGAAAAATCGGGTACCTTTTAGGCGCTTCAAGGATGGTTTTGGTCTTTGGAGATGTGTTTTTGGGGGGTTGTTCTTGAGATCGGAAGATAAAGCACGAAATTTTGGGCCGCCACTTTAAAATACGGAGGACAATTTCTGAGAATGTGGGCTTTACCACGTGTTGACTTTTTAGTGGTTGCTTGAATCCGGTACGAAATCATTTTGCCTTTTTCATCTAATGTCACAAAAAAAAAAAAAAAAAAAGGAATATGACTTATCAAGGTAATTAATTTTTCGGTATGTTTACATCTAGGTAATTATCTTTTTTTTTGTATATATGTAGGTAACAAATTTTTTGGGAGTGTTCACATATGACCATTATGACCTGCTATAGCAGGTTAAATCTTAAATGTGAACGCTTTCAACAAGTTTGTTACCTAGATATGTACAAAAAAAATAGTTACCCAAATATGAACAAAACGAAAAGTAAAAATTAAATTACATGAATGGTCCCTGTAGTTTGGGGGAATTTGTGGTTTTGGTCTCTAAGTTATTTTTTTAAACTTAAATGGTTCCTATTGTTTATTTTTGTTGCGCGTTTGGTCCCCATATTACCTAAAAATACTATTGTGCCCTTATTAATTTATTTTTTTAATTAATTTTCTTATCTATGTTTATTTTTACATATTTATAAAAATTAATATACCACACATATTTGTATCTCCTAGGATGATCCCTACTATTTATTTTTTAATTAATTTAATTTTTTAACTCGGATGGTCCCTACTATTTAATTTTGTTACGAACTTGGTCTCTGTCTTACCTAAAAAGACTATTGTGCCCTTACTAATTTTTTTAATTAATTTTCTTGTTTATGTACTTATGCTTTATATGTTTAAGAAAAATTAGTAGACCTCACATATCTGTATCTCCTCACCATCCCATCTTTCATCATTCTTAACTTCTATTTATTTTTCATTTTTAGTGATATCGACGTCTTCATCATCACTTCTTTTTTTGGTCCTTCAACTCCGTCGAAACAACACTACAACCCACTAAATATGAAGAGACAGTAGGTTATGGTGTTGGTTCTCCAGAGTTGAAGTACCAAAAAAAAAAAGACGGTGAAGACGTTGATGTTACTAAAGATGGAAAAGAAATAGAAGATGGGGAGGATCAGAGATGAGATGGTGAATGGTAAGACTCAAATTAAATTTCTCAAATGTGGTTTCAGGTTTACGGTGATAAGATACATATATTTGGGGTATATTAATTTTTTATAAAAAATAAATACATAAATAAGAAAATTAATTTAAAAAATTAATAAGGGAAAAATAGTATTTTTAGATAAGACAAAGACCAAACGCGTAACAAAAATAAACAGTAAGGATCATCCAAGTTAAAAAAAAATTAATTAAAAATAAACAGTAGAGATCATCCGAGGAGATACAAATATGTGTGGTCTATTAATTTTTTTAAATATGTATAAAATAAACACATAGATAAGAAAATTAATTAAAAAAATAAATTAATAAGGGCACAATAGTATTTTTAGCTAAGACGGGGACCAAACGCGCAACGAAAATAAATAGTAGGGACCATTTAAGTTAAAAAAATAAATTATGGACAAAAACCACAAATTCCCCCAAACCACAGGGACCATTCATGTAATTTAATTTTTAATTTTCATTTTGTTCATATTTGGGTAATTATTGTTTTTGTACACATCTAAGTAACAAACTTGTTGAAAGAGTTCACATCTAGGATTTAACCTGCTATAGCAGGTCATAATGGTCATATGTGAACACTTCCAAAATGTTTGTTACCTACATATGTACAAAAAAAAAATAGTTATCCAGATGTGAACATACCGAAAAGTTAATTACCTTGATAAGTCATATTCCCCAAAAAAAAATGTTGACACTTGAAATTTTAAATTAAGTGAATTTGTTATGCCACACTTCATTTTTTTTGTACTAATTTTAGGCTGTTTTTAGGGATTTTACACTTAATTTAGTAAATGTTTTAGTTTCTTATTGGTCTCCTTCTTAATTCTTATTATATTTGGTTGGTGATTTAGGTAAACCATGATATCGTATTAAATGAATGATGGTTGGTAATTTAGTTGTGGACACGGTACAATAATGAAGGAATGGTTAGAAGAATATGGAACATAAGATGTGTACCAAATACATCCCTAACATCTTTGATATTTTATTTTAGGAACCTTGAGTTGATATTAATGTGTTTAAGATCATTAGACATCTTTATTTTTACGTTAAAATTAAAATTATTTTTATTTATTCTTATTTATTTCAGAGTATAAAAATTATTACGGAATTCGTTCCCAAAACATTATAATAGTATTATCAAAGCATTTCTGAAGAAAAGTATTTCATTTATATTTAAAAATCATGGGATGTCATCGTGAATAAAGATACATAAGCATAAATAAGTCTTAAGGCTCATCGGTGTGGGTGCGGTCTAAGACCGCACTTCGTGCCACATAGGACGGGAACACCGCTCCCAAGCCGCGGTCTCGTGCGATTTTGGCCGCAGTGCGGTCCTCCAAAGCCGTGCGTTTTGATTGGTTGAGGCAATATGGTGTGGATTGAGCCGTTGAGCATTTAATTTTTTTTCTTTTGCTATTTCTTTCCTATATATATACATATCAACTTAATTTTTTTTCACAACACAATCTATTCTCTCTCAAAAAAAAATTAAAAATCACCACTCTCTCAAAAATGTCATCTTCTTCATCTTCTGAAGAATTTCAAACTATTTTTGATACCGCTATTGCGTGTGTTCAAATGAGATTATTTTGCAGAGAATGCCACTTACCAATGGTATTACTTTCGTAGGCGCTTCAGAATGCTCAAAGGTTTGTTCGAACGTATAGTTGAAGATGTAACGAGAGAGTGCAGTTTTTTCCACAACGCTACGATGCTAGAGGTACACTCGGTTTCACTCTCTTACAAAAATGCACGGCCGAACTTCGTCAGTTAGCATATGGCATTCCACCTGATGCATTAGACGAAAGTTTTTGGATGTCTGCTAGGATAGCACGAGACAGTCTCCATTTTTTCTACAAAATTGTGATTCAATTTTATGGTCCAAAATATTTACGTAAGCCTACACGTAATGACATCCTGCAATTGCAAGCTCATCATGCTAGTGTGCATGGGTTTCCTGGAATGCTAGGAAGCTTAGATTGTCTCCATTGGGCATGGGAAAATTGCCCTATAGCATATCATGGGCAATTTACCCGAGGTGATCATGGTCACCCAACGGTCATACTTGAAGCAGTTGCATCACAAGATATGTGGATTTGGCATTATTTTTTTGGTTCTCCTGGTTCGATTAACGACATCAACGTTCTTAACCGTTCACCAATATTTAACAACATATACGATGGATCCGCACCAGATTCTTCTTTTCAAGTGCGTGGAACGCCATATAAGTATGGTTATTATCTGGTCGATGGAATCTATCCTGAGTATGTTGTGTTTGTTAAATCGTTTTTCAGCTCCACATGGTTCTAGACGAAATAAATTCAAGAGAGCTCAAGAAAGAGATGGGAAGGATGTTGAGCGTGCTTTTGGAGCTCTGAAGAAACGGCGGTTCATATTTAAAAAACCAACAGCTTATTTGGGAGAGAAAAAACTTCAAGAAATCAAGTATACATGTATTATATTACATAACATGATTATTGAAGATGAAGGAAGAGCGATATGAAGAAACCATACCAGAGACACAACCAATAGAAATTGGCGGCGAATAGTATATAAACAGGAGAGCAAAGATACGTTGCACTGAAACATTTCACAATCTTCGCAATGACTTGGTGGAATACATTTACGGGGTTCAAAACATTAACCTTAATTTTGATCCACCGGATGACCCCGAATACGAGTTCTCGGAGAACGATTTTACGTAGTTTGCTTTAGTTATTTTATTTATATTTTTTAAGTTTCTGAATTATTTAAATGTCATGTGTGTGGGTTTTTTTTTAAGTAACGCAATGTACTGTTTTTTTTTTTTAATTTTCAAGTAATGAAAAATTATGTTTTTTTATTAAAATGGAAGTTATATTAAATTAAAATAGTTTAAAAAAAAGGAAGTTTTATT